GTGAAGGACCACGTCTCAGTTCCGTATGTCATCACTGGCAACACGCACTGGGTGTACAGTCTCGTTTTCAAGTTTTGAGGTATACCTGACGAGAAGATGTGCCGTAATTTCCCGAACGCTGCCCAACCGTTGAATTTGTTTCCGTCCGAGTTGAATCCGTCGATTGACCTCTCGGTCGAAGTTGGACTTACCTAGTCGGACTATTTGTCCCAGGTAAACATACTCGTCAACAACTTCGAGCTTAGTGTTCCCAACAACTACCGGCATAGGTGTGACATGGACATTAAACATGATCTTTGTTTTGTCCATGTTCATCTTAAGACCTATCCGTTGGGAAACACTATCGAGGTCATTGAGCATAGTGCTTAGGTCCTCCAGCGATTCTGCCATAAGGACTATATCGTCGGCAAATCGAAGGTGAGTGATGTACTCACCATTGATGTTGATACCGTATCCTTTCCAGTCCAGAAGCTTGAAAACATCTTCCAATGCAGCGGTAAAGAGTTTCGGGGATATAACGTCACCCTGTCTTACACCTCTCTGCAATTGGATAGGTTTCGTACTCTGGTTCTGTACTCGGATAGCCATCGTAGCCCTACTGTACAAGCACTTCAACACTTCGATATACCGACAGTCAACTTGGCATCGCTGAAGGGACTGCAGCACCGCCCAAATTTCGACGGAATCAAAGGCTTTCTCATAGTCCACATACGCCAGACATAGTGGCAAATTGTACTCTTGACTTCTGTACAACTTGCCGAAGGGTATGTATGTGGTCTATGGTGCTAAAGACCTTTCGGAAACCGGCTTGTTCGGGAGGCTGGAAGTCGTCAAGTCTGCGCGCGAGACGATTCGTAATGACTCTCGAAAACAGCACGTAGACGCGGCTCAGAAGGGAAATCGGTCTGTAGTTCTTCAAGAGAGCGTTGTCGCCTTTCTTGAAGAACAAGACCACCGCACTTCTGCTCCACGCCTCCGGTGTAATGCCACCATGGAGGACGGAATTAAAGAGCTTCTGAAGGACTTCAAGTACCGGTTTTCCACCCGCTTTCAGAAGCTCCGCTGTAATTCCATCCTCGCCTGGGGCCTTGCCGTTTTTAAGGTGCTGGAGAGCCATTCTAATCTCGCTCAGACTGACGTCCGGGATATCATCGGAATAATGTCGGATAAGACTCGCTATTGGATCGTTACTCACACTTGCGTGCGGCTCCAACGATGACGTGTACAGCTGCCCATAGAACCTCTCAATCTCACTCAAAATCTCAGGTGCCCCGGAAACGATGCTGCCACATTCTGTCTTCAGCTTTGACAGTTGGCGCTTTCTGGCAGACAGATCTCTGGCAAAGACTTTGGAGCCGCGGTTCCGCTCGATCGCTTCTTCAATACGAGCTGTATTGAATTTGCGTAAGTCCCGCCGCATGCATTTGGAGATCTGTCTGTTCAGTTGCCTGTATGCTGTTAAATCTGTTGAAGAATGTAGCTTCATCTCCCGTCTAACAGCCATGAGATTAAGAGTGTGATCGGAGAGTTTTTGTGTTCTTCTGCGGCGGGTCTTGCAGAACTTAGCTCCGACCGCATGGACAGTTTCCACGAGCTTGTCATTCAAATCGTCCACTTCATTGCTGTCTTCTAGGCACTGAAAACGGTTTTGTAACTCGAGCTGAAAGGTTTCGGGACTTTGGAACAGAGCACGAGGGGGACGGAGCGTTGACTTCATTAGATATAATATAATTAGTTTAAAATATGAAATTCATTTTATATTTACTTTTATCAAATGTTTTTATTTAAGTGCTTTGAAAATGCTTGACATTCAAAAGTATTGTAGAGAAAATTTTGAACAAACCACAAGTAAAAAATTAAAAAAATCTAGTCAGGTAGACATTTTTTCTATCTTTTTTTTTTGATGAAAAAGGCTTAAAGTTTGCTCTGGAAACTAACCTATACACTGAGCTATGATTGTGCGTAGCTTGCAGTGGTGTGGAAAATAATACAATATAATTTTACGAATATATAATTTAACTGCTTATGATCATCACTATGATCCTAGTGACAAGCGAGGTCATAGTCAAGAAATTAATAATGTCCTCCAGATGGAATGTCGGTCACGGCAGCAAGTCCCAACGGAGACTTGCCTTCTGCGAAGGATTATTCTCATAGTCCGATGGGACGGCAATCCAAAACGAAGGGAGATATGTCAGGTGTAGGTAGGACCAATGGCTTTACATGCTTTCCGTAGTACTGGGGTGTAACACCGCCAAATTTCTCACTCCGCGCTGCTACATAGAATTTATTGACAGAAAAACTCAATAACTGATTTTGTGGCCCCGTCTCGGGATGTGTATGAACAATCGATCCATTAAGGCAGTATTAAATCTACAGTGAAGATCACTAGACGTGTTATTTATTCTCCGAACCACGCAACCTTATATGGCGACTCTGCTATTTCATCGGTGCGGCGGTCTGCCGGGGATCGGTCGGGGAACGCGTTTAAAAAGATGTGGAATTCAAATTGAAAATTAAAATGAATAATAAATAAAATTGGAATTATATTATAAAAAATGTGTCGTTTTGAACTGAAAACGAACCAAGTGTTCATTACGCAAAATACTTAAGCAGGTTCAAATTCTGCACATTTAGAAGAAATTAAAAGCCTTATGTCTAAGATATACGTCGTACTGGTTATAATATGCACACTTTTGGGCTTGGCTCTTCTCTATGGTGTATACAAAATATAGAAAAGGTGCCACACAAGCTGGATGCAGAATAACATGGCAATGCACAATTTGCGTCGCCCTTTTGTGCTGTCACCGCACCAAGGACCTCGTGTACCTTGTGAATGCAACGAGTGCCGCGACGAGGAATGCCGGGAGACAACGAACACGTCAATGTGAAATGATACTCGTAGGTGAAAATACGGACATAAGGTGGAAATTGAAAAATATATTATAGTTTTGATTTTAAAAAATAATAAAATTGCAAATAGCCTTATATATAACTTATAACATTTTTGATAAATGTATTTTTTAATTGTATTTTCATGTATAATGGATTAAAAAATATAGCTGTATGAATAATTAAATTATGCTAAGCGAACTGAATATTATTTTACTACAAAAACTTAAATAGTCAATACAATTACGTAAGAAAGATAATATATTTGATTGTTTAAAAGTTTTAAAGAGAAAGAAAGTAAAAAAAAATGAATACAGCATTAATGGTAGAAAAATCATATTGCGATTTAATTAATGATAATATACGGAATTTTTAAAGTAGTTTAAATACATTTCGACAGCACTATCGGCTTCAACACCCTCGAAAACCATGAAAATGACACCCATGATGAAAAAATTGATACCTATTGCAGCCGCCATCTTGGATTTACATCTAGACAGCACTATTAGTTTCAACACCCTCGAAAACCATGAAAATGACACCCATGATGAAAAAATTGATACCTATTGCAGCCGCCATCTTGGATTTACATCTAGACAGCACTATCAGCTTCAACACCCTAGAAAACCATGAAAATGACACCCAAAATGAAAAAATTGATATCTATTGCAGCCGCCATCTTGGATTTACATCTAGACAGCCCTATCGGCTTCAACACCCACGAGAACCATAAAAAAGACACCCATGATGAAAAAATTAATACCTGTTGCAGCCGCCATCTTGGATTTACATTTCAACAGCACTATCGGCTTCAACACCCACGAGAACCATGAAAATGACACCCATGATAAAAAATTGGTACCTAATTCAGCCGCCATTTTGTATTTACATTTCGACAGCACTATCGGCTTCAACACCCTCGAAAACCATGAAAGTGACACCCATGATGAAAAAATTGGTACCTACTTCAGCCGCCATCTTGGATTTACATTTCGACAGCACTATTGGCTCAGCACCCTCGAAACCTTGAAAATGACACCCATGATGAAAAAATTGATATCTATTACAGCCGCCATCTTGGATTTACATTTCGACAGCACTATCGGCTTCAACACCCTCGAAACCCATGAAAATGACACCTATGATGAAAAAATTGATACCCATTGCAGCCGCCACCTTGGATTTACATTTTGACAGCACTATCGGCTTCATCACCCGCGAAAACCATGATAATGACACCAATGATGAAAAAATTGATACCTATTGCAGCCGCCATCTTGGATTTACATCTAGACAGCACTATTAGTTTCAACACCCTCGAAAACCATGAAAATGACACCCATGATGAAAAAATTGATACCTATTGCAGCCGCCATCTTGAATTTACATCTAGACAGCACTATCAGCTTCAACACCCTAGAAAACCATGAAAATGACACCCAAAATGAAAAAATTGATATCTATTGCAGCCGCCATCTTGGATTTACATTTCGACAACCCTATCGGCTTCAACACCCACGAGAACCATAAAAAAGACACCCATGATGAAAAAATTAATACCTGTTGCAGCCGCCATCTTGGATTTACATTTCAACAGCACTATCGGCTTCAACACCCACGAGAACCATGAAAATGACACCCATGATGAAAAAATTGGTACCTAATTCAGCCGCCATCTTGGATTTACATTTCGACAGCACCCTCGAAAACCATGAAAATGACACCCATGATGAAAAAATTGATACCTATTGCGGCCGCCATCTTGGATTTATATTTCGACAACCCTATCGGTTTCAACACCCTCGAAAACCATGAAAATGTCACCCATGACAAAAAAATTGATACTACTTAGGGTAAGCGCGCACTGCGGCAACAATCGGTGCGGTTTGCTCCCGCAAAAATATGTGTTGTATTAACCACAGTAGAGGTGCGCGCATTGCGGTTGTTCAACCGCAAGCGGCTAAAAAATCTGTGATTTGCCACAGATTTGTTGCGGTGCGGCGCCGCACGTTTTTTTTGCATCCTATGAACTTGTATCAAACACCGCGCACTGCGGCAGAAAAACCGGAGCGCGCGGTAGTCAGTAGTGGACGAGCAGCCACGAGAAGATGTTGTCGCCGAGCGCGTCCGACGACGCTGAGGCCCAAGCGGTCGCCGATGTAAATATTGACGCACTGATCGTGGAAGTACAAAGCCGACCCGTACTTTGGGATAAAAGTAATAAAGGATATGCAGATAGAGGTTTAAAATCAAAGATGTGGGACCAGGTCTATGAGAAGATTATAGAAAACTGGAGTGAGTTGTCAATTAGAGAAAAACAAAAAATTGGTAAGATTTTTTTTATTTCTAGTATATAACCTTTTAGGTACAGGAAACTAGAGTTTATTACCAACAATCGGCAACATTTTATTTTTATTACACCCCTAAAATTAAAATACTGTTTCTATATCTGTTTATTTAGAACGCAACTTTTATAGTTTTATTTATATTTTTTTAAATACATACTTTAATATGACATAGTTATAAAAGTACGGTAAAAAAATTAAATCTTGTCACGTTTGTTAACAATTATATTTTATCATATTGCCATGGGACAGAACCTCTAATTGAAGTAAAATAATTTGCAAAATAATCCCTATTCTGAAGGCTGTTTATGGTTGACCTGACGGGGTTTCGACGGAAGCTAATTAACTCAGTCCCATACAATTCATCTCTAGATCTGACTCCATCGTGTTTTCGTACGTAATTGTGTAATATACAACAAGCTTTTACGATTTTATCACAAGTAGTCGTTTTAACATCTAGAGCACGGTGCAAAATTCTCCACTTATTGGTGAGTATCCCGAAAGTGCACTCTACCACTCTTCGCGCTCGTGTAAGCCTATAGTTAAAAACTCTTTGAGTTATTGTGAGATTCCGTCATGGATATGGTCTCATAACATGTTCCGACTGCGCGAACGCCTCGTCTTCAACAAAAACTAGTGGCATCACTTTTCCATCTTCATCATTTGGTAATGTTTTTGACTCTGGAAGGTTTAACTGAGTCCTTTCGAGTTTTTTCCCGAAATTACAATTCTTGAAAATCTTTGAGTCACTATTCCCACCATAAGCTCCAACATCCACTGATACAAAAGAATAATCTGCATTGGCTACCGCCATCAATACTATTGAGTGGTACTGTTTGTAATTAAAATATTGAGAACCAGCGTTATCAGGTTTTTTACACCTAATGTGCTTCCCGTCAACACTACCCAAGCAGTTGGGAAAATTTGTGCGCTTATAAAATTTTTTGCAATAGTATTCCAAGTATCTTCATCAGGTTCTTGCATGTATATTGGTTGTAAACACTCCCACAATTTTTCACATGTATCTTCCACTATCTCCCGGATTGTAGTTGCACCAATGAGATATTCATAATAAAGTGAGTTGATGCTGTTCCCCGATGCTAAGTACCTGTAACAAATAATATACAGGGATTCAGAATAGGTAGAATATATTTGAACTTCGAATTATATTTTCGTCTACGGTTAAGCATAAAATCAAATAACTACCACTACTCTAAAATACCTACAAGTAGTAAAATTTTGTCTCTTTTTTTATTACAGGAACACAAATCCAAAAAAAATGGCGTAACCTGAAAGATTCTTTTGCAAAAGAACTTGCAGTTCAGAAGAAGGGCAAATCTGGACAAGGATATAAAAAAAGAAGGCCGTATGTTCACTTTCAAGCCCTTTCGTTTTTAGTTTCTCAACCATTGGAGAGAGAAACTACCTCAAATATATCAGTGGAGGATTCTGAAGAAGACAGTAATAATAGTGTCGAACGCGAAAATTGGAAGCAAGCCCGCAAAAAAACTCAAGCACGTGAAACAGACAGAAATGAAGAACTTTTAGACATCATACGACAAAAAAAAAACCTATGATGAAGACATTAGTTTCACGGAAATGTTAGTACCCCTACTAAAAAAATTAAATGACGACCAAAAGCACTTCGCAAAAGTCGAAATTTTAAGTATATTAAACATTGCCAAACGTTACCGTCCACCGGAGTTCCAAAGACCGCAAAGCCAGTATGGTTCAGCTTCAGAACCTAATCGTTACGACAGGATCCCATACAGACAAGACTCATGCCGAAGAATGTCATCTGTCATGTCTAACTATACTCCTTCACCACCATCAACATCGGAGTCACCGGCTCCAGCCTATGTTATGTCTCCAACTCCTAGCCCCAATTATGCCTCATCTCAGCCTCTTCCACAGGCGGCTTCTGCGTATGTTATGTCTCCAACTCCTAGTCCTAATTATGCCTCATCTCAGCCTCCTCCACAGCCGGCTCCGGCTTATGTTATGTCTCCAACTCCTAGCCCTAATTATGCCTCATCTCAGCCTCCTCCACAGCCGGCTCCGGCTTATGTTATGTCTCCAACTCCTAGCCCCAATTATGCCACATCTCAGCCTCCTCCACAGCCGGCTCCGGCTTATGTTATGTCTCCAACTCCTAGCCCTAATTATGCCTCATCTCAGCCTCCTCCACAGCCGGCTCCGGCTTATGTTATGTCTCCAACTCCTAGCCCCAATTATGCCACATCTCAGCCTCTTCCACAGCAAGCTCAAGCTTCAACTTTAGGGAATCAAGCAATAGGTACAAGCATGATGTCTGTTGAAATGAAACAAGGGTACTTTTGTAATGACCCCAATAATTATACAACGCTAGTATATGATGAGAAACATATGAAAATAGAAAATAATACACAACGGAATCCAGCCAACATACGAGTATCTGAAAATACTCTCGCCGACATAATATATTCCGCTGATACTGCATCTCCTGTCGTAGGACGAGGGAATGGCGTTCAAATGAAAGATTTTTTAATCTTCAAGCGTAGTTAATCTCCATTTGCTAAGTAAATTATTTTTATTTTACCATAAGTAAGAAGTGGTGATATTCCTGTGATTGTTTCGCATATTACTTACTTATTAATAATAAAAGGAAAAAAAGGGATTTGTTTTATTTATGAATACAATACCGTCATTGTAGTTAACAGCGAGATTAGTGGATTCAGTACGCAACAAGGGACAGTATGTAAGTACGGTAAATGTAGGTACTAACCTCAACGTAACTGAAAGCCTTTCTTCCACTGATATCGCTTTTCTCCAACTCGTATCCTTGTAGTAGATTTCGTTACCAACAATTGTTTTTAAATTTTCAAAGGTCTTTATGTTCATTCTGTAGTATCCAAAAAACTTTTTTGGAAACTTTCGTAAATCATTATATCTCATATAGAAAAAGCCCTTCATAAGTCTCATTGCTGTTAATGGATGAACCCAATAGTGCTTGCGTTTCTGTTTTCTTGCCGTTAATATTAAATAAATGCAAATTCGGAGTCTGGTATCGTAGTCCATGCTGTTCGACCTCCCGCTATACGAATGGCAAAACTTGCGGGTGTTTCACCGCAGTGCGCGCCGCAAACCATTTCAGAATTTTGCCGTACCAGTTATAAAACCGCAACCGCAACTTGCCGTACCGTAGTGCGCGCTTACCCTTACTTTGTTTACGTACTACTGTTATTTATTCTGTGCTTTTAAAATATTGTAATAAAAAAAATCTCTTATTATTATTATAACCAAGTATTTAAGAAATTTGGTTATTCGAATATTGTGTATTTATACAGCGATCATTTTGAGCCGCTGCAAACAACCGAAACATTGTCCACTCACGACGGCGATTGACGCCAAACTGAGTGTGTGCTGTAGCTCCCCATTTACAGAAATAATGTACATAGAAGGCTGCCAAATCAACGAAAATTTTACCATTTTGGAGCCGAAAAAAATTAATTATAGCTAATCAAAACAAAATTACACTGCCATTTACATTCAGTGGTTTCCCACATGATAGATGAAGAGATAAAAAAAATTGAGTTAAACAATTGATATTTTCAAAAGCTATTGTGTTTACAAGCCTTGGGGGCACAATAAATCCACACCATAAGCCACTAAAACCCCTTTTTTTATTAAAAAAATAGCAATTATTCGATTTAAAAAAATATTAATAAGTTCAACAATCATTTATCTTTCTAACAATGTGCTTTTTTTATCTTTTATGTGTATAATATGATTGCTAGATACAATTTTATTCGATAAAACGTTGGAATCTTAATTTTTAGGCGATAGTAGAACATACCTTGCGCTTTCGCTTAAGGTATGCAATAGAATGTTTTTAAGTAGCGATTACGATTCTCAACTAACTTCCGTATGCACTATTTAAAGCGAAATAGTCACCATTAAAGATTTCGACTTTAAAACTGCTGTATCACTCCTTCCAGTGATGACGGGTGGGGAATTGGTCACCAAAACTTTGTTGGCTTCGATAGAATTATATAACTCTTCGCTTAAAAAAAGAAGGTAAGTTTATGGTGGTAAAATTTATTTTAAAAACTCGTGATCTCGTGTGACTCGAATGACAGAGTGAACAGGAATGTGTTATGGCAAACACTGAACTCATTTGAGTTGAGCGCTGGCTTGATACAGGCATTAAGGTCTCTTTATAGGGACTCTAGTGCTTGTGTCAGGATCAATGGGGTCTACTCGGACTGGTTTGGCATTCATAAAGGTGTCAGACAGGGATGTGTGGCTTCCCCGTGGCTGTTTAACCTATTTATGGACAGTTGTTTGCAAACTTTGAAAGTTGAAGAATGTGGGTTGAGAATGGGTGAGTCAACCGTCAAATGCCTTTTGTACGCCGATGATCAAGTCATATTTGCATCGTCAGCGGCCGAGTTGCAAATGATGGTTACTTTAATGAATTGGTCATTGAAAGAAAGGGGTATGAAAGTGAACGCAAGTAAGACGAAAGTGATGGTTTTTGAAAGAGAAGAAAGTAAAACTTTATGTGAAATAAGAATAGAAGGGGAGTTGATTGAGCAAGTGGATGATTTTGTATATTTGGGATGTTTATTTAGCAGGGATGGTAGATATGATAAGGATATAGAACGACGAATGAACGCAGGAAATAGAGTGAATGGGGCTCTACACGCTATTATGAGGAGTCAGAATGTGTCAACTAAGGCATGTATGGCAATTCATAATGCTGTGTTAGTCCCTACTTTAATGTATGGTAGTGAAAGTTGGGTCTGGCAGAAGAAGCATGAGAGTAGAATAAATGCTGTAGAAATGCGTTCCTTAAGGAGTATGCTAGGGCTGAATCTGAATGACAGGGTGAGAAATAGTGTGATAAGAGAAAAGTGTATTTTGCAAGATGACGTTGTGACAAGGATTAAGAAAGGAATGCTTCGGTGGTTTGGTCATGTAGAAAGAATGAACGAGGAAAGAGAGACAAAGCAAATTTATGTTGCAGAAGTGAACGGCAGGATCGGAAAGGGACGCCCTAGACGAAGGTTTATCGACCAAATCGGCGATACATTAAAATGGGCCAGATTAGGAGTACCCTTAACCGACGAGCGTGTATGCGTAGATATATGGATGTAAAAGAGGCGAGAGAGGTGTGTCAGTATCGCGCCAAATGGAAGTCCGTAGTCTCTGCCTACCCCTCTGGGTGACAGGCGTGAGTGTTTATGTATTATATGTATGTAAAAACTCGTTTGGAAAAAGCTCTAAATTTATTTATTCCCTGTGTGTGGCTGTTGATCACGTGAGGCTAGCGTCACGTGATCAACAGTCTGTAACTTGCTAGCCTCACATGATCAACAGTCACATTTTTTTTTTTTTCTATTCTATTTGGCCCTTGGTATTGTGATTATGTCACAATAATTCTGCCAATGTCCGGTCCTTGGTCTGTCGCACCTTGTCTTTAGGAAGTACGTGTTAACCATTCGACCGTTGGCCATAGACCCCAACAGTCACATTGTTTTAATGTTTGTGACTATTAAATCAACGCTGTCAATTATTGTAATGCCTACTATGCTCATGCCTACAAAATTTAAGATTATTCAAAAAACGTAATTTTGTGGCTAATGTATTATAAAATTCCATTACATACATCATCATTTCATCATTACAGCCTTTTACAAGTCCACTGCTGAATATAGGCCTCCCCCAAGTTATGCCACAAAGCACGGTTCAGAGCCACCTGCATCCATCAATTAAAATCAATCAATTAAATTGACTAAAATTGTTTTTGAAGGCGAGAATTGTGAAGATTGGATTTTTAAATACTTTATTAGGTAGATAGACAATTACGGAATACGATAACGAAAAACTCTGAACTACTCGTACAAAGGATGTTCATATCGCTTTAAGCAATTTTTACTTGACAAACGGAACGTAAAAGGATATTTTTTTTATTTGACGGATAGGTGAACCGTGCTTAAAACCGTGCCGTTAATTGTGCTGAGAAAAAACTAATTATAAAATCATATTTGTATAAAAATATGAATAATGTATTACGTAATATATCTGTGTACACATGCAGTGAGAAATAAAATAAAATTACATTTTAGAAACTCGCCAACACCAAATAAAGGGAAAGTCATATTTAAAAATATCTCAGTATAGAATTATACTTTTTTCATAAGTGCATTAATCTGTGATTGAAAAGTCATATTTATACAGAGCAGAGTCGGTAAGAGACAACGGTTTTAGTGTTTTGTTAAAAAATGGAACTTACGTTTACATTTTCTGTTCACTGTTATATCAAATTGAGAATCCACTGCTGAATATAGGCCACCCTTATATATTGCCACATAGGGGGAATATTTGCCACAGTTGCCACGCTTGATGAGCTGGTTGACAACCGCAGTTTCTTATTATTAATTATTAATTTAGATTTTTTTATAAATGTACCGCAGTTTTTTATTATAACTATTGAAATTAGGATATTGTTTTGTTCGATTTTTGAATCGGTGTATTTTAGAGAGGGTTAGGAAGTCTGCAGTGTGTGAACTCGTACAGGATCGCCCCCGTCACT